CTTTTTGCCCCTTTCTCTCTCTCATTCTTGATGCACAGACCTGGTTATACTAACTAATGCCAATAAACTTATCTTCCCCAATGCTTCTGCATTTTTTCACTTGGATATATTTTCTTGGGTATAATTATTGCAGTCTCTTAATGAATTCATGATGGATATTTTAGAAATATATTTTACTTCTAGGTCCTGTCACTTGAAATGTTTGATATTAGATGATAAGTTTGATCTTTGGGATGTTTCAAAAACTTTCACCCAAGTTCAAATCATTATTTGCAAAAGTGCTCTAAGCACTAAGGCTGAATGGAAAGGAAGCAAGCCTAATGAGTCCTTTTGGGGTTTATAAAAGCAATCAAAAACTTGGAAGGAGCAAGAGGCAGTAAACTGATTGATGGTCCCTGTGTACTGTGGCATACAACAACCCCTGAGGTACCCACAAGTGTGCATTCTTTCAGATCCGTAGGAGGCTTTCAATGACTATTTAAGTTTTACCTCAAGTGCTGTAGTAAGCAGTCCAGGAAGAGTAATTAATAAATAGCAACAATTATATGTAAACTGAGTTTGTAGAAAAGTAGATATCTTGCCGTGCTATGAAAATAAAGACTGATTTAGTTACTACTTAAATTTAATTATAGAACAGATTTTGTTCTCATTAAAACTAGCTTTTCTTCTACTAGATAATATTTGATATATTTTGCCACATGCCAAACTCTATCTCCCAAAGCAGTTATGTCAGATCCTCCCCCAAAGTCCTCCTAAACAAGAATTAAGTTAAAAGTCTAAAAGTCCCCGGGTAGTATATATATCAGGGAACAGCAGCCGCATTCCCAGTGAATAGACAGCTCAATGAGAAGCAGCTACTATTTTCACAATGTGTTTTGATCAATTTAGGACTTCAGGTCCTGGGAGCCCAGATTCATGCCCATCTGGCAGTGCTGAGAGACACACACTTAAATATCTGATGTGCAACAGAGCTAACATTATAACATGGGAACCAGGCAGTCACTCATTCCTGATTTTCACCACTCACCAAGCGCAACATATTTCCCGATTGTGCCGTCCAAAATGCAGGAAGAGCAGCAAGGAAGAAAGAGACAAGATGGTAATGTAAGAAAGAGCTAATAAAAGAAACAAATGATTCACAAGCAATCTGGCGAGCAGTGATCAGGACTATTGTGCCTCCAGTTCACTACGCTAAAGACAAAAAGGCCTTTATCTTTCCCCAAACAGAAAATACTCCAATTAGGTTTCTCCTCCTGAAAGCTTTCAGATATTACCAAAAAATGCCCCTTACCTGTCCTTGGAGGATAATGGGAGGAAGTCAGTGTCTTCTTGTATGATCTCAACAGACTTTATTCATAACAAATGATCTGTATTCTTATATATGCTTATAGAGATATATTTTTTTCCTTTTAGACAATTAATTATACTAGTGATCTCAGGTGTAGAATTTTATTTTCAAATAATATTGAAATATTATTAAAATAATAGTTCTGATCCATAATTTACAATATGAAACATTCATAATTTGAATTTTATGGTAACACATGCTTAAGAAAAAATAGATATTGCTTTCATTTCCTTACTGTTTGTGGATATGACATTTGGTAGCAGCTCTCTAGCATTTACTTTAAGTGTAAGCAGTGTGGGTTGTTACCAGGGTGGGAAGAATGAAAATAAAAGCCCATTTCCTTGCAATTCTTTAGTAAAAGTTTTGATAAAGTTTTAAAGTTCCTTATCTTTGAGTCCCCTATATAAGCATAAAAATACACACAGAGCAAAATCCAACAATTGTTCAGTAAAGACTGACAGAACCAGTCACCACATAATAACAAACTGGGATTGAAAATGAAATGTGGATTTAAATATTTTATCACCCAAATTATATACTTTTCTGAGATAAATAAAAATACTTCCCATTTTTCAGTTACTTATTTAAAAACAGGTAAATATTTCATACCCATCAAAAGTGTTTTCTTGATATATGCAATAAAAATAATAGAAGGAGAAGAGGGCAACAGAGAATGAGATGGTTGGGTAGCATCACTGATTCAATGGACATGAACTTGGGCAAACTCCAGGAGACAGTGAAGGACAGGGAAGCCTGACATCCTGCAGTCCTTGGGGTAGCAAAGAGTCGGACATGACTTGGAAACTGAACAACACCACAATAAAGACAATAGAGGAAAACATTAAGTCATAACTAATTCCTACAAATTTAAAGCCCACCTGTATACTTTATTAAAGACAAAGTATTTTCTTTCTTCTTTTTTTTCTTTCAAAAAATATTTACTAAGTTCCTATGAGTGACAGACATTATTCCAGGCACCAGAAAGACTTCACTGAACAAAAAAATAATTCTTGCCCTTGTGAAGCTTGCAATCTAGACAGTAAATATACACCTAATGAAGGAAGAAGTAAAGCTGTCATTATTTGCAGATGACATTATATTATAACAAAAAATCCCAAAGATGCCACCAGAACTACTCATTAATGAATTTGGTAAAGCTGTAGGATTAAAAAAAATAATAATATACAGAAATCTACTATATTTTTACATTACTAACAACACTATATCAGAAAGAGAAATTAAATAAGCCCATTTCCTATCACGTCAAAAAGAGTAAAACACCCAAAAATAAACTTACTTAAAGGGCTTCCCTGGATGCTCAGGTAGTAAGAATCTGCCTGCAGTGCAGGAGACTTGGGTTTGATCCCTGAGACAGGAAGATTTCCTGGAGGAGGGCATGGCAACCCACTCCAGTATTCTTGCCTGGAGAATTTCATGGACAGAGGAGCCCAGTGAGCTACAGTCCACAGAGTGGCAAAGAGTCAGACAGAACTGAGCGACTAAGCACACACACAAGGAGGCAGAAATCTGTACTCAAATCTACAAGACACTGACCAAGAAAACCAAAGATGGCACAAAGAGATGGAAAGATAAGCTGTGTTTTGACTTGGTTGTTGTTTATATTCAGTTGTTAAGTCATGTCCAATTCTTTGGGACCTTATGGCTTGCAGCACACCAGGCTTCCCTGTCTTTCACTGTTTCCCAGAGTTTGCTCAAACTCATGTCCATTGAGTCAGTGCAGCTATTAAACCGTCTCATCCCCGGCCGCCCTCTTCACCTTTTGCTTTCAGTCTCTCCCCACATCAGGGTCTTGTCCAATGAGTTGGCTTTTCACATCAGGTGGCCAAATTATTGGAGCTTCAGCTTCAGCATCAGTCCTTCCAATGAAAATTNAGCTTCAGCATCAGTCCTTCCAGTTAACACTCAGGGTTGATTTCCTTTAGGATGGACTGGTTTGATCTCCTTGCTGTCCAAGGGATTCTCAAGAATCTTCTCCAACACCATAGTTCGAAATCATCAATTCTTCAGTATTCAGCCTTCTTTATGGTCTGACTCTCACATCCATACATGACTACTGAAAAAACCATAACTTTGACTATACAGATCTTTGTCAGCAAAGTGACATCTCTTCTTTTTAATACACTATCTAGATTTGTCACAGCTTTCCTTCCAAGGAGGAAGCATCTGTTAATTTCAAGGCTGCTGTCCCTGTCCACAGTGATTTTACAGCTCAAGAAAATAAAATCTGCCACCATTTCCACTTTTCCTCCATCTGTTTGCCATAAAGTGATGGGATCAGATGCCATGTTTGAAAGTTGAGTTTTAAGCCAGCTTTCTCACTCCCCTCTTTCACCCTCATCAACAGGCTTTTGAGGTCCTCTTTAGTTCTGTAAGAGGTTAATAGTTAACTATACAAAATCCCAGAAGCAAATATCTAGGATATGCAAGCAAATCCACAAGTAAAAGGAAGATCATGGAAAATATTCCTCTTAAAATTGACCTTGTGAGACCTTGGTTTCCTCACTTACACATTCAATAAATATTTATTGAGTGCCAATCACATGTCAACACTGCTCTAGGCATGAGGGTCTCAGCAGACAAGTTTCCTGTCCTTATGAAATTTAAATAGTCCACAACCTTCTCTGTTACCAATAAGAGGAAGAAATTAGTCTCTACTAAATGAATTTTCCTTTAAAATTATAATTTTGCCATTTTAAAATTGGAAGAATTCTTGGGGTGCATTTCTTCTAATTCCATACATTTGTGATAATATTCCCAGGGCACAGTGGCCTGACACGCATAGCTGACACCTCATCTGTGTTTAGAGTGTCAAGCCCGGTAGTTCGATGGGTCCAGAATTGCTATGACTGAGTCATGGCTTTTCCATTGTGTGCCATTTGGCAACCTCTCTGAACTTTAGTTCCCTAATCAGTAAAATAATGATGAGACAGCTCATACAATTCATACGAGGATCAAATGAGATAATATAAAATGAAACAGCATCTGGCACACGATAAAAATTCAATCATGACTGTTTTTACATCTATATTTCATTTAGCTGTTGAGTCCAATAATTGTTATTTTCCCATGCATATCATGGGGCTTCCTAGGTGGCGCTAGTGGCAAAGAATCCACCTACCAGTGCAGGAGATGCAAGAGACCAGGGTTTGATCCCTGAGTTGGGAAGATCCCCTGGAGTAGGAAGTGGCAGCTCACTCCAGGATCCTTGCCTGGAGAATTGCATAGACAGAGGAGCCTGGCGGGCTACAGTCCATGGGGTCACAAAAAGCTGGACACAACTGAGCACAACAGACATATGCTATTTCAAAACTAGTATGGTAACACTTCTGGTTATTAATCAGGCAATTAATCTTTTCTTTAATTAATAGTCAGAAAAGGAAGTCGTATGCCTTCCCTGAGTATTTCCCAATAAATCAGTTCTTTGCAGCAGGTGGCCAAAGTATTGGAGTTTCAGCTTCAGCATCAGTCCTTCCAATTAACACTCAGGGTTGATTTCCTTTAGGATGGACTGGTTTGATCTCCTTGCTCTCCAAGGGATTCTCAAGAGTCTTCTCCAACACCACAGTTCCCGGTAGTGTGTGAGGTGTGTCTTGTGGATTAACCATTAATCCTAGAGTGAAAACTGAATTCAGGGTTTTAGGGCTGGAAAAGATGTGAGACACCATCTTGCCAGTCCCCGATTTTTTGACACAGGCAGATGCAAAGACCTGAAAGAGTAAGTACCACGCTCTGAGTTTGCGCTGCTAGAACTATGGTACTTCTGTGGTTATAATTAATTATGATTAGAAAAGATGACTATGATTAAGAAATCATGGTTGTGATTAGGAAAGATTAATGTTGCCAGGTGGCTTTGTGACCTGGGTGTGAACTGGCTACCTGAATATCCTCAATTAGAGACCTAGACTCAGGAGGACTCAAAGTTATTCCGAGGATGAACGTGCTGGACTTGACTTGACTGTTGCTTTGGTTCAGTAGGTGGAGCCACTCTTCCTTGTTAGAGTAAACAGATTCAACTCAATTATAAATAGAAAAAATATGTGCCCTCCGCCATTGAGAGTCGCAGAGAGGGACGACTACCTGGAGACCTCGGGTGCCGCGCTGAGCAGTGCTGGAGCATGAGTTCCAAGCCACAGTCCGTAGGGATCATCGGAGCTCCTTTCTCAAAGGGCCAGGTGAGTAAAAGCCTGGCTTTGAATAACTGGAGTTTAGCAGAAAAGTTACGAGCTTGCCTGATACAACCTGACCTGAAATTTGTAGTAAAGTCTTTTCATCATTTTACATCATTGTATAATTATGGTCACAAATCCACTTATAACATTAGATTTGTAACTATAACACCTAATCTCAGCCACAGCCAGTTTTATTTAAATCTGCTGAACTTCTCCTCATTTTTTGAGAAAATAGTTTTGAGTGGAAATAGACTATTTCTGCCTTGTAGCTACTCATTTAGAGTTCCATGCTCTTATCACTATTGGTGTTACTGTGTATATGTAGAAGGAGATAGAATTTTAAGAATTTTAAGAAAATATATTTTTTTAGTTATGTAATTACTACCTAGAAAAATTCATAGATGGGTGGTAAATTTTAAGTTTTAAAAATGTGAATAAACTAAATATTATTGATTTATCAACATTTTGAGTTATTTATATTAGTTTAGCACTTTAATGATTCTCTAAAAGTGTTGATTCATGGACTAGGTGGAGTTCTTTGTGTACCTCTCTTTGAGGGATGAAAAATGAAAAGCAAAAAAGGAAACCCACCTGCAGATTGATCACATTGAAAAGACTATTGGATTTATCAAATTCCCAAGTTCTAAAACATGCCAGCAACACTTAAATATACTGTCCTTTTTTCCTTTTTTTCCTGCCCAGGCACACTCATTCTAGTAAATCTAATGAGATTACAGATATCTTCAACTCCTCCAAGTGTCTGTGCTAAAGGGATGGGGGAAGAATAAAAACAAAAGCAAATAAGATAAAGTGTGAATTAAAACTCACCATGCAGATTTTTTTGAGGTTGTGGTTGTTTTAAATGAAGTTTCTCAGATTTCTTAGAACTTTCTCTTTGCCCAACTGAGCAGTGTATTGCTTCTCTCAGTTCTGAGCTCTGGCTTTGCACTCTGACTTTTTTATTACAAAACAAATTGGGACAGGTCAGAGGTTAGAGGTGCGAACTGCATTTGAAACGTCAGTGAAACCTGCTTCACTTCCCCTGGAAAACTTTCAAAGTTCTCTCCCAAAACACAGGGAGGTTTTGCTGACAAAGAGGTGTTAACTTGTAATGCTGGGCTTAATTGCAAACTCCACAATGTGCTCACCTATTCTGACAGGTTCTAACAAAGATCACAGTGAAATAACTGATTTAAAAAAGAAGAAGAAAAGAGGGGAGGGAGGGAGAAAGGAAGAAAGAAAAGGAGAGAGGGAGGGAGGAAATGGCTTGAACATGCTCTGATCCCTGGGCCCCAGCAGAAGGCCACATGCTGATGATAACAGCCTGTCTAGGGGATAACATTTTGAAACATAGCCGGTGCCTTTTCTGTTCTCCATAATTCCTCCTGCCTCTATAGTCGCTCCTTATTAAAACATGGCGCCATGCAAAGAGTAAGACACTGCCAACCCGTACACACACACGAGAATGAAGCTTATATTGTCTTACAACAGTAAGAAGGGAGAGAGTTTTCTACTCTAAGCCATAGCATAGAAGGGAAAAATCAGCCAACATATAAATTTCTGTCCTCAGCCAAAGGACATAAAATTTGGATAAACAAGCAGAGGAGAGGATTAAAGGGCAGAGGACTAGAAGGTTGAGTCTGAGAAAGAGCTCCATCCTCAGCCCCATGCCTTTGCAGGGCGGTGGTTGAGGGGCGGGGGTGGTGACCAAAAATGAAGTAGGTATTCTATCTATTTTCCTGTTGTGTTAGCTAGGGCTCAGAGGGCTATGGTAATTTGTTTAAGGTCACACCGCTTTGACTGTAATTCCAGACACTGACACTAAAGCCTGTGCTTCTGACCGTCGCTGTTACATCTTTCGTTGTACAGTGGATCTTGGAATTGTGGTCAGTTAAGGGTTGGAGCCTAGCTTCAAAGTCAGTAGCGCTAACAAAGAACAATGGGAAAAGTCAGAACATGAGAAGCATTTTAAATCAGATGGAAAATAAAAGCTAAAAAGTGTTAGTCTGGGAAGCTGAACAACTGTGTTATTGTAAATATACAGCCAGCCCTCCATATCTGTGGGAATGTCTTTACTGTCACTTTATGTAAGGCACTTGAGCAGCTGGGGGAGGGGAGGGCGTCCTGGTCAATCCAATACAGATCCGGAGGAGGAATTTTAGTATCAGTTAAGGGGTGTATAAGATTTCTTCTTTTTATTTTTTTAATAATTCTGAAAGTTCACAATGGTTTTATTTTTGAAATTCTTATTGAAATATAGTTGATTTACAATGTTTTAGTTTTGCATGTACAGCAAAATGATTTAATTACATATATATATAAAATTTTAATTCTTTTCCATTGAAGGTTATTATAAGATATTGAATATTGTTCTCTGTGCTCTACAGTAGGTCTTTGGTTATCTATTTATATATAATAGTGTGCATATTTTAATCCCAAACTCCTAATTCATCCCCTCATCTCCATCTCCCCTTTGGTAGCCATAAGTTTGCTTTCTATGTTGGTCAGCCTATTTTTGTTTTGTAAATAAGTTCATTTGTCAGGAGTGTTTAAAATTTGCTCCAAAGTTTGAAAGGGAGAGGGCAAAGGTCAGGGAGTTTTATCAAATTGACAGTTTTTGAACATCTACTAAGTGTCAGCTCTATCCTAAAAAAATACAGTGCTGGAAGTGTAGAGAAGATTGGACAGAAATCTAATAAGGGAGAGAAAACAATGGCAAATAACTCAAAATCAAGGCAAAATTTCAGCCAAGTGGCACTCTACTGGAGTTTAAAGAAGGAGAAATTGTATCTACTTGTTGAGGGGGTAGGGGTGGGAGTCATAAAAAAAGGCAGTGAAGTGAAGGAGCAAACGTGTCTGGCTAAGCATGGTGTTGGGGGGAGTCCCTTGCTGCCAGGGACAGGAATTTGACATGGAGGATTTGCCTGGTAGTCAGGGCAAGTCATCTGGTAATTTGAGGCAGGAAGAATTTCCGCTTAGTTTAGTGCCACAGTGCAACCCTAAGGATGGACGCAGTGTCTTTCTGCACATCTCCCCACCTGCCAGCAGGATTCCCAGTGGCACTAGTGGTGAGTGCAGGAGACCTAAGAGACAAGGGCTCGTTCGCTGGTTTGGGAAGATCCCCTGGAGAAGGAAATCCAGAAGGACAACCCCTCTCCAGGATTCTTGCCTGGAGAATTTCATGGACAGAGGAGCCTGGTGGGCTGTAGTCCGTGGGGTCGCAAAGTGTTGGACATGACTGAGTGACTAACACTTTCACTTTTTCACTCCCACCTAACATCGCAGAGTAACTTTCTCTATTGAAAAGCCTTGTTGGAAATTGGAATCAGAGAAACACATTAAAGAACTGTTTCTTTAGATGGCTTATCTGCCAGGAGGTTGGAGAAGACTTACTGCAAGGAAGAAGCGTGCTAGCTTCCCCGATGTAAAAAGAGCAAAGGTAGAATTGTGCCAACCATGCTTAAACAGGTCAAAACTTGAAACACTGGGTTGGTCTTTGTGAGTTCATCTCCCAAGTGATGATTCTCCCTGCTGCCTCCTTTCTCCACAAGAGCCCTAACTTACTACCATGCGGACCTGCACGTAGGTCTGTCTGATGTCACACTCTTTTTTTTCACCTTCTGTTTTGACTCAAGCTGCTCTCCAGGTTTGCAAAGTTTCTTCATCACCCCATCCATTTTCCTGAATCACCTATTCATGTTGCAAGACTCAGCAGAAATGTCAGCCTGTTCCCTGCAGACTTCTCTGAAACTTGTCCACCCGTGACAGGGTTAGGAACATCCTGTTTTTGTGGTTACAATACCTTGTAACTGTGTTGACGCAAATCTCTAAGTATTATAATTGGGATTATTAATAAATATCCAAATCCCCTACTCACTTGTGAGTCACTCAAAGACAGAAGCTCTCTCCTTTGGATCATTGTATCTCTCAGTGCTTTTGTACAAAACACGTCCACTGTGTTGGTGACACAGTGTGATGGAGAAGAGAATCTGCAAGTTTGGGGATCCAAACCACCTGGATGTGAACTAAGGCTCTGCCACTTTCGCTGTGTGCCTGTAGGAAAGTTATATAACCTTTCTGATTCTATATCTTCATACTCAACATAGGAGTAATTCAATCTACCTCTCTGTGATGACAGTGAGATCATGTAAATTCCTGACCCTGTAAGGTACTCAAAACATGATAGTTACTCTTCAACTGATTAATGAACAAGGTTTCTATTGTGGGGGTTTGATGATACGATAATATCTGAATTACTCTATTTTCATTGTTCAGCCACGAGGAGGAGTGGAAGAAGGCCCTACAGTACTGAGAAAGGCTGGTCTGCTTGAGAAACTTAAAGAACTAGGTAACTCTTTACTTAATCAATTTTTTATTAAAGTATAGTTGATGTACAATATTATATGTTACATATTTATACAACATAGTGATTCATAATTTTAAAGGTTATACTCCATTTACGGTTATTATAAAATGTTGGCTGTATTTCCTGTGTTGTACAATATATCCTTGTAGCTTTATTTTATTTGTAATAGTTTGTACCTCTCAACCCCCTGCTCCTATATTGTCCCTCCTCCACCCTTTCTCCACTGGTAACCACTGGTTTGAGCAAGGTAATTTCTAAGCTGAAAGCTGATCAGCTCGATTTCTTTCTTACTCTGAAGGAAGGTCCAGGCTCCCGCTAAAAGACGGTGTGTCTGGAGTGACATTTATACGACAGTGACATTATAGCAGCATTGGCTATAACCTTAGAGGTACATATTATTAAAAAAAAATGTAGTGAAGGGGAGAATGTTCAGTAAACGCTGTTGGATGAATATCCTCACTCAGATATTTTGTCTTTCCAGTGAGACTACTCTTTTAGAGAATCTGTGTTTGCAAGAACTAGGGGGTGGGTGGATGGTAGGGGATTCAGGGAAACTGAAAATGAAAAGCTAGGGGCAGCAGAAAGTACATTACTAACAAGAGGATCCTTATTTGTAAACAGAAATAAAATAAGATGTTTATATAATAACAGTACCTAGTATTTGCATTAACATCCTAGTATGTGTACATATATACATATCCTTCTATATATACACGAGTATGCAGATGAAAAGTAATATAATTTTAAAAGTATGGGCTAAAGTAAACATCATCTTTATATGCAAAACCCTGACGGAATGTTGGGGAGGATATGGACCAATCAGAACTCTCATGTATTTCTGATGGGAATGCATAAATACACAGCCACTTTGGAAAGCAGTTTGGCAGTTTGTTAAATAAAGATGCATTTACCTCTTGACCCAGCAAGTCTTCTCCTAGAGATTGACCAAGAGAAGTGAAAACATATACTACAAAGTCTTCTACTTGAATGTTTGTAGTAGCATTATTTATAAAAGTCAGGAAATGGAAACAATAAAATGCTCATCAACTGGTGAATGGATAAACAAAAAGTGGTACATCTATACCATGGGGGTAATACTCAACAATAAACAGGAACACAGGCAAGAACATGGGTGAATCTCAAAGATATCATGCTGAATGAAAGAAGCCAGACACAAAAGGCTACAAACTGTATGATTTATATGAAATTCTAGGAAAGACAAAAGCATAGCAAGAGAAAGATCAGCAGTTGCCTGTGGGAAGGGGCAGGAGGGAATTTGGGAAGTAATAAAATATTCTGAAAGTGAAAATATTCTAAATCTTTATTAGTGATACTAATAAAGTGATACTATCACTATACTTGCAAGTCTGTGGATATTTCTGGCTTGTACATTTAAAATGAGTGTATTTTAGTGAATGACAATTATACCCCATAAAGTTAAAAAAAAAAAAAAGACCCCAAGCGAGAATAGAAAGTTAGATCCCTCAGTTAACAAGCGTAGTTTGGCCACATTTTATATCTGCTTGAATCTCTTGAAGGTGTTACTGATTCATGGACACACATGGACATGTAATAAGTACGGTATACCATGACTGGTAAATTCGGAACACTGTGCCTATCACACTTTTACATGAAGCCTGTACCTTGACGCCTAAGCAGGGCCTTTTAGGAAGTGAGCCTAGGTCTTTAGAATCTTTGAGTTACCTGCAGTTTCTTTATTGAAAAAGTACAGAAATAGACCCCTTATTTCCTGACCTCATGGGAGCATTAGGCCAATCATATATTCTTATTTAATTCAGACAATCTCATTACGTGGCAGGTACAGAGGGCAGGCAGAGTAAGAAGCTGAGTGGCTTTAGTTGGTGACAGCTTGGGATGAATCCAAAGGCTCTTAATGTAGTGAAAGGAAGTTGAGAAAATATCGGTGTCTTTTTTTTCTGGGCATAAATATATATTGTTGCTGTTCAGTGGCTAAGTTGTTTTCAAATCTTTTGTGACCCCATGGACTGCAGCTGGTCAGGCTCCTCTGTCCATGTGATTGTCCAGGCAAGAATACTGGAAACAGTTGTCATTTCCTTCTCCAGGGGATCTTCCCAACCCAAGGATCAAACCCAGGTCTTCTACTTGGCAGGTGGATGTTTTACCACTGAGCCACCTAGGAAGCCCTATATATATATATGTATAAATATACTTTCTTTTTAAAAACAGCTTTTTTTATTACCTACACAAAACAAGCTTATCATAGAAAAGTAAACAGCACACAAACAGAACCCAAGACAGTGACGCCATGCATCAAGCCCAAGCCTGCTTATCACTGTTACACTTTCATGTCTAGCCTAACTGACTTGAGTCAAGAAGAATTTGCAGAGAACCCAGTATATAGCAGGCAGCGGTGTAGAGCCCAGTATACAGCAGGCACTGGTGTGCAGTGAAGTTGGGATGATGATGTCAGGTAATAGAGGACATAGTTTTTACTTTCACGAGTTTTTACAGCCATTCCGGGTTCTTTTCTTTTCTTTTTTTTGCAAATACACCTATTTGGTAAAATTGGAATCATCCTACAGTCTGTTTTGTAATCTCCTTTAGTAACCTAAAACTTTTAATTATAGAGTATGATGTGAAAGATTATGGGGACCTGTCCTTTGCCGATGACCCTGATGACAGTCCCTTTCAAATCGTGAAGAATCCAAGGTGTGTGGGAAAAGCAAATCAAAAGCTGGCTGATGTGGTGGCAGAAGTCAAGAAGACTGGAAGGATCAGCCTTGTCCTGGGTGGAGACCACAGGTCTTTTTTTTAATGCTTATCTCTATGGGAGTTTGGTATAAATACAGTGGAGGAAGTATAACCAAAACCATGAGAAGAGAGAAAATAGGAAAGTATTGATCAATATTTTACACCACATTTTCTGCCTTGTTTATTTTAATTTTATTGATTACTACTTTATTTTGGAAAAAAAAACTTCCCTCTATTTGAGGTCTTGCATGACTTTTCTCTATGACAGCAGAAAATACATGGTATGTGAATGAATTTCACCAAAAGAGTCAAGCTTACATTCCTAAGTAAATAAGCACTGAGGAAATTAATAGCCTATTGTACTTGATTAGTGATAATAGAAATAACTTATTTATGTCAACAATTAAAGCATGTGTTTCCCACTATCAAAGTAATAATTATCGAATTTTTGAAATATACATGCATTTGTAAAAGAAAAAAATAGTGGCAATTGTAGTTCTCTAAAAACCATTTCTACTAGAATTTTGAAAATCTGTTACATTTCCTTCCTGCCATAATTTTTTCCTTGTATATAATTTTAACAATTGTATGCGTTATCCCATTTTGTTCTTCATCTACACTACAGATTTCCTTATGTTATTAACACCTCACAATACATATGAGCATAATTTTTACTGTTGCTTGATATTTCATCTAGGTATGATCTCTCTCTCTCTCTCTATATATATATATATATATATATATATATATTCATTTGTCAGATATTCAGGTTATTTTCAAATTTCACCATTATGAATAATGCGGCAAAGATGTTTGCACGTGTCTTCCCATGTTTACTCTCAAGGTCGCAGGACATGTAATCAGAAGTATGATTAGATCAAAAGTACAAAGATTACAATGACTCTTAATGCAGGAGTTAATTACTTCAGCCCCCTCCATATTTTCCTTGAAAGCCAAAGTGTTTTCAGGACTTCTGCGACAAAACTTCACGTCGAGAAACTGGAGCTCTCTTTTTTTAAATAAAAAAATTTGTAAGTGGGAATTTTAAGAGTGGCACATGGACAAAGAAAAAGGAACGTGAAGGGAGAGAGAAACAGCATGCTGAATCAATAGTGCCTGAACGTCAAGCAAGGACTGCTTCTGAGAGTTCATGGTTCTCTGCAGGGTTCCTGACCTTTCACAAGGGGGAGAATGCAGACATTATACGGCAAATCCTGGTCTTTTAACTGTTGTGTAAGATATTACTTAGCTTTGCCATTCCGGCAAGTTTTCTAGAGCTGGGAGTGTTTGAGATGAATTTCAAGGGTTCTGGACCTGGTTAAGAGTGAGTCCTCAAATACGTAGCAGGAGACTAGAAAGTTCCAACAGAGGATCTGAACGTTGAATAGAGTAAGCTCCCAGGATACACTGGCTGAAGTGGATGTCAGGGGCTTGAGTGATGTTCCCCAATTGTAAAAGAATTGGATTTTAAGAAAAATGGGAGGACTCTGTCATAATTCGCTTGGGAGAATTAAGTATTTTCCAAGAGAGATTGAGAGTACAGAAAATGAGCCTGTTTTAACCCTGAGAACGGAGTGATATCTCATGCTAAAAAACTTCTTGTGTGGCTACTGTCTTTTCACACATTTAATTTTTAGTTAAACTAGAATTTGCAATTTTATTAGAAGGTGGTTTTGAGGAAAAGCAAAAGTATTTTTTAGTAATGCTGTTACAGTGAATAAATATAACTTGTTAGTAAATATTGTGTTAGGTATACTTTCTCTAGTGTTGCAGTTGTTTAATTGGCATCTTCAGTTTCAAATCTCTCAGAAATATTAGCCACTTTGACTTAAAGGAAAATCAGGCAAGAATACTACGTAAATGATATATGTGGATACTGCAAACCTGATGTTCAGACGAACTTCTTTTCCTTTAAAGTATGGCGATTGGCAGCATCTCTGGTCATGCCAGGGTCCACCCAGATCTCTGTGTTATTTGGGTGGATGCTCACACTGACATCAACACTCCACTGACAACCACAACGGGGAATTTGCATGGACAACCTGTGTCTTTCCTTCTGAAGGAACTAAAGGAAAAGGTAAGCAGCTGGTTGGTGTTCTGTTATAAAAGAGTTATCTTTCGCAGAAGCTCAGGAGCCAGAAGGAAAGTGAGAACCCTTGTGCCATTTTATTCTTGATTAATTTTCAAACCATTTTCTCAGCAGCCAATAAGCAATGGGGGAAGGTGGACAGAGGTAGTGAGACTCTCTCTCTACATTTTCAATAGTTTGCAAACTGACTCGGGGTGTAGCTTCCCTTTTGATTATCTTTTTTTTTTTTTCTCCTCAGAATTCCAAATGGTTTATGTAGATTTCTCTGGTCTCAGAAAGGTAGACCACAGTTCTCCGCTCCTAAGTGGAGAATATGGCTGCTTACAGTTGAGTCTCCCCCTAAGGTCGTATGAATTCCTGGCAAGGCCAGCGTTCTCAGGACCACGGTGCTCTCCAGACTTCCATGGGTGCTGTTTCTGCTCCTACAGTCACCCGAGCGTGAGATTTGGCCCCTTACATCTCCAGGTTTAGAGAGATGAAGATAAGTGAAGACGTTCTAAGGGCTGGTGACAGAGGGGACAGGGTTCGGGGCACAGCCTGCTGTTTCAGACACGTGATCCTTCTCGAAAGGGCAGGCAGGCCTCCGAAGTACGAGGTCGGGGGCGAGGCAGACCAGCGGGTGACTGCGGAGGGAAGGAGGCTGCCGACGGTGTGCTTGCTCCTAGCTGGGTGGCCAAAAGCCCCCAGTCCTCGGCGCCCCCATCCTTTTGATTCTTAGTAGGTGGGACAGAGAGGAATCCTTTATGACCAAGTGAGCAAAGGGTCAGAGGTTAACACACACACCAAATGTGGAGACAGGCAAGGACCATAACTCTGCTCCCGCTGCCGCCTCTTTTGCTTACACGCCCCACAGCCTCTCATTCTAACCAAGTGTCCCCTCACAACACAGGGCCTTTTCAAACATGGAGATTTTAAATGCAGATTATGATGGCTTATTATTTAACATCTTTACTATGAGAAGCACCCGTCTAAATCACAAGAGGGAGAACTATCTCCTTGTTCCCTGGAAACTTCTTTTCTAAAAAATGTAAGATGAAATTTCAGAATAAGATTTAACATTGTGGTTCATAACTTTTATTGATATGCTACCAATAAAACAATTTTTATTGATACAACTGTAGTAAATTGGACAATGTGATGATACTTGGGGATCCAAACCTCCTTATGTTAAATGTCAGCAGCAATATTTTCCAAACAGTTGACCAACATGATTGGTTTATACACCTACAGATGTGTTGTTAGCTCATAGGACAGCCAAGCTAGGCTCTGGGACATTTGAAGACGCAGTCAAACCAAAGGTCTGATTGAAAATTTTCATCAGCCACTCTAAACCATCCTCTGGATAAATTCTGTTTTGAAAAAGAGAAGAAAAGAAGGAAGCTACAAAAGCACACTGATTTCTTTATAGAAGAGTTTCAGGAGAACAGGGCTCAGTGGAAATGCAGTGTAGAGCAGGTAAATGCTGACAAATGGTTCAGGTTAGGCCTGGGATACCAGGCAAGGCTGGGTAAGGCCAAAGCAACCAAGGGTAGCACAGGGGGTCAGACGTTCTCTTCCTAGTTTTGTACTATATTTTAATGATTTCCTTGAATTTTATGTTCTGAATATAAGATACATGCAATCTAACATGTGTCCTTAACTTTCAATGTAAGATTGCTCAAGAGAAGCATATGTAACCCACTGGAACCATTGCAATTCTAGATGCCCGAGGTCCCAGGATTCTACTGGATGACTCCCTGCATATCTGCCAAAGACATTGTGTATATTGGTCTGAGAGATGTGGACCCTGCAGAACAGTAAGTTTATTCCTTGATGTGTCCTTGATGTGGTTTACCTTCCTTTTTGTCCTTTCTCATGGTAGGCGTGCTGATCAAGTCAATGAGAAAAAATTATTTTCAACACCAAGTCTATATATCTATACGTGTGTGCTCAGACGCTCAGTTGTGCCTGACTCTTTGCAACCCCATGGACTGTAGCCTGCCAGGCTCCTCTGTTCATGGGATTCTCCTAGCAAGAATACTGGAGTGGGTTCCCATTTCCTCCTCCAGGGGATCTTCCCCACCTAAGGACAGAGATAAGAGAATATAGTCTCTTAAGTCTCCTGCATTGGCAGGCAGATTCTTTACCACTAGCATCACCTAGGAAGCCCCATATATCTATATCTGTATCTAAGTGCATGCTAAGTCACTTCAGTCATGTCTGACTCTTTGAAACCCCATGGACTGTAGCCCGCCAGGCTTCTCTTTCTATGGGATTCTCCAGGCAAGAATACTGGAGTGGGTTGCCATACCCTCCTCCAGGGGATCCTTCCATCCCAGGGATCGAACCCATGTCTCTCATGTCTCCTGCATTTACAGGTGGACTCTTTATTGCTGAGCCACCTAGGAAGCCTGTCTGTATCTAGATCTGTATCTATATACACATGCATATACACATATGAGCTTCCTGGGTGGCTCAGCGGTAAAGAATCTGCCTGCCAGTGCAGAAGATGTGGGTTTGATTCTTGGGTTGGGAAGATCCCCTGGAGAAGGAAATGGCAACCTACTGCAGTATTCTTGCCTGGGAGATCCCATGGACAGAGGAGTCTGGTGGGCTACAGTTCATAGGGTTGCAAAGAGTCAGACAAGACTTACGAACTACACAGCAACAACACAGATATCTATGTATGTAGGTAGGTGATTTTTACCTTGACTTGCTGTTTAAAAATTATTGATATATACATACAGTTCACCAAACTTAAATATATTTGTTTAAAGATTTATGTTTGGGCTATGTTGAGTCTTTGTTGCCGCACGTGGCCTTTCTCTGGCTGTGATGAGTGAAGGCTACTTTGTTGTGGCGCTTGGGCTTCTCAATGTGGTGGTTTCCACTGTTGTGGAGCATGGGCCTCGAGCATGGGGACTTCAGCAGTCGCGGTGTGAAGGCTCAGCAGCCGTGGCTCACGGGCTCTGGAACGCTGGATCCGGAGTTGCGCCACACCAGCTTAGCTGCTGTGCAGCACGTGGTATCTTTCCAGGCCAGGGATTGAACCCATGTCCGTTGCATTGCAAAGTGGATTATCAACCAGTGGACCATCAGGGAAGCCCCTTAAATAATTTTTGAATCTTTACCACATTGATCTTTTCTCTAAAAGGAAACAAAAGGGTCAGCCTCCTTATAAACTGTAGATTATCTCAATATCTTCTCTTTCATAGCTATATTTTGAAAACTCTGGGGATTAAATACTTTTCAATGACTGAAGTGGATAAACTGGGAATTGGCAAGGTGATGGAAGAAACATTCAGCTATCTACTAGGAAGGTAGGATGCCTGTGTGTGTGTGTGTGTGTGTGTGTGTGTAACATAACTATTAAAAGGACTTGCTATAAACACTAGTCAACGTAAGTTATTAACAAAGCCTGCAAGTACAATCATGAAAGTTCATGGGTTGTTACTTTTTGTAAAACAAAGTAAGAACTGTATTTTTCTATTAAATATTAAACCACCAACTTTAACTTGAATTCCTTTCCCACCTTTTAAAAGAAAGAAAAGGCCAATTCATCTGAGTTTTGATGTTGATGGACTGGACCCGTCTTTCACGCCAGCTACTGGCACACCAGTCCAGGGAGGTCTGTCTTACAGAGAAGGTCTCTACATCACAGAAGAAATTTACAAAACAGGTGAGTAAAAATCTGAGTGAACACAAGAGAAAGTGTACACCTGGCCAATATATATTTATGCCTCACTGACCTGAAAACAAAGCCCCAACATGACACTTCCTGAATGCCCACTGCATAATACAATGACTGAAATGTTTTCAGTTGCACTCCTGGACAATATTTCAAGTCAGTCTGTACTAAATTACAAATATCAGCTACTTAATAAATTACATTATTTCCATTTGTTGTTGTAGGGTTACTCTCAGGATTAGATATAATGGAAGTGAATCCATCTCTGGGGAAGACACCAGAAGAAGTGACTCGAACAGTGAATACAACAGTAGCAATAACTATGGCTTGCTTTGGGGTTGCTCGAGAGGGCAACCATAAACCTATTGATTACCTTAGACCACCGAAGTAAACGTGGAATCATCATATAAGAAAATCTCACAGCTAAATGACATAATTAGCAAATCTAATAGCTTAAAGTTAGTTATTGTCCCAAAGATTTGGTCTTTCAGGAAAATCTTTTGCCTTGGTTAATATTAGTACAATTAGTATAAACTGTATCAGTTCCCTCCTGGTGTGAAATTCAAGATATGGAAATGCTAACTTTTGTGAAATTAAAAAGTTTATATTCCCATTTTGGCAAAAGACTTATCCTTAGAGAAACATACATTCATTTCCAAATAAAAATTTGCTGGCATTAAAGATAAACACTTTTATCAGCCCCCACATGTACAGTGGGACTCCTGATATCAGGAGATAAAGCTACCCAACCTGAAAAAGGACCATATTTCCATGTAGTTCAAAGCTGTGATGCCTAGAAACTGCTCTTCTCTATCTAAGATTCTGTCATCCCTATACAAGTTTCTAAATAAACGCAACACACACACAGACACTGACACACACACACATCCTGCTTAAGACTACCATAAATACTTTAAAAACCACATTGAAATTATTATCCTCCAAACACTGTAAGACCTTGGTTAAGTTATTTTAACTCTTTTGCTCTGGTTCCCTCATCTGTAAAATGGATTATTATAAGGTTTGAGCAATCTCTAAGTTCACTGATGTTAGATGACCATGTTTCACTTTTTTTAAACCTCAAGTATGATCTTGGTTAATATCATGTTAAGCATGGCAGCTATTCAGACAGTCTTTGGTCAACAGAGAAATCAACTATTTTTGTTTCTGCTGCTGCTAAGTTGCTTCAGTCGTGTCTGACTCTGTGCGACCCCATAGACGGCAGCCCACCAGGCTCCCCCGTCCCTGGGATTCTCCAGGCAGGAACACTNAGACGGCAGCCCACCAGGCTCCCCCGTCCCTGGGATTCTCCAGGCAGGAACACTGGAGTGGGTTGCCATTTCCTTCTCCAATGCATGAAAGTGAAAAGTGAAAGCGAAGTTGGCTCAGTTGTGTCCGACTCGCAGCGACCCCAGGGACTGCAGCCTACCAGGCTCCTCTGTCCATGGGATTTTCCAGGCAAGAGTACTGGAATGGGTTGCCATTGCCTGCTCCATTTTTGTTTCTAAGATATGCTAATCTAGGTTGCAATTTAACTGAAAATTATCTGTGGCTTCCAAATGCCCCACCTTTCACTTATTTCAGTTGGTAAAGAATCTGCCTGCAATACAGGAGACCTGGCTTTGATCCCTGGGTCAGGAAGAGCCCCTGGAGAAGGGAATGACAACCCACTCCAGAATTCTTGCCTGGAGAGTTCCAAGGATAGAGAAGCCTGGCAGGCTACAGTCCAAGGGGTCCCAAACAGTCAGACACTACTGAGCAACTAACACTTTCCCAAGTTTCCAAATGTCTCACCTTTTACTCATTGCAGTTAAGAGTGTGTTCACTGGTTGAACTCCTGAACATCCTAAAAACTCATCTCAGCTCTATTATATAGTGAAGGAAGTGGGAAAGTATGTGAAAATAAACTAGAATCAAAACAAGGGAAGTGAACTCTTTCCCTTTCCTCCAACTTACATGGAACTCAAAGTGGAGTCTGTAATGAAGCAGGCTCCACAAAAGAATTTTTACTATTATTCTTTTTTTAAAAAAATTAATTTATTTTTTTATTGAAGGATAATTGCTTTACAGAATTTTGCTGTTTCCTGTCAAACCTCAACATGAATCACCCATAGGTATCCATATATCCCCTCCCTTTTGTTATTCTTGTTATAACAGCTTTATGTGTTAAAGAACCTCTATCATCTGATTGTCTACCTGCAATACAGAATTTTAAACCTGTTGACATTATGGACTTTGTAGAATAAGTGTTTTACTGAATAACTTTTAGATAAGAGCAACTATAATGGATCTTACTCTAGATAACATTATCCAGTACAGCAGTCACAGGCAGTTAAATTAATTAAAGTTTAATAAAATATTCAGTTGCACACTGTGAGTGCTCAACAAACACATGGAGCTACTAACTATTGAACTGCCCAGCACAGACATGACTGTTTCCACCATTGCAGAAATGCCTAGTGAACACAGCCACGCTCAAGTTATTATTAGTTTTCAAAAAGAAAAATTTTAGGATGTAATGGATATAAGTATTTTTTTCTCAGCTGTATTCTAAACACAAATTAAGCTTCTGTCTTCTATTAATGTCTCTGATTAATACTAACCTCTTAAAAGCCTATTTGGGGAAATCATATTCCCTTTTTTAAAGCAAGAGAGGAAAAACTGAATTTTTAATAAAATTAACTGGAATGTGTATGTCCTTAAGAAACTGACATTGAATTTTTCTCTTTATTCTATTTGTAAAATACTATTGTTACAATTATTTCTATTCTGGGATCTCAAAGCAATGTATTCCTTGAGGCAACAAGAATATACCGAGACTAGGTTAAGAGTAATACTTGAAATCATTTCTAGTATAAAACTGCTGGAGAATTTTAAGAATATCATTAGCTTAGAAAAATTGTTTATACCATTATACAAATTTTAAGCTGTCCTTGCATGGCAAATAAAAGATCTAGTGATTATAAAAATATGAATCATGAAGATAAAAGCCTAGGAGGAATGATTTGGAAATAGAAATTCGCAGTTAAACTTCACTAATTCTTTTTTAAAAAAAAATCAGTACCTCTTAATTCCTAGGTTAATGTCAGTCATTGACTATAGTGTACAATCCACGGAGGTGGCTCAGTTCTCTGTTCTAATCCAGCCAGTACATTGCCCGGCACCCAGCAGACGCTCATTCAAACTGAGTAATAAATCAGACAGTTTATTTGTTCAACAGATTTTATTAATTATTTTCCAAGTCTTTTACAATCTTAATGCCACACCCCCAAAATAACAGTATGTCTCTCAAAATCTAATAAACTCTAAAGAACCAAAATGCATATGATATTTAAAAATATAAATATTTTAAAAATTTAAGACTATAAAAATTCAAAGAATCACATCATCTGCCAGGTAAGTGTGTCAACCTGGAAAAGTAACTGATTTTTAAAACCAGGGATTGAAGAATCACCATTTAAGCATGATTTTCTTAAGTTACGTTATCTTCTTACATGGCTTCCAACTCATTTCATACAGTAAGTTCAAGTCCACAGCAAAGGCAAAAACTTGCCAATCTACTTCAATAGAAATATTAGCCTGTTTACTTGGAAATCTGTGATAAAAAGTTTAAGCCATTTTAAAAAGAATATGAAACTGTGTTTGCTCCTGTAATGCAATGAAATCTAGAGTCCTTTACTTGACAAAAATCTCTTGTTGCAAAGATATACCAAAAGAGATTTATGCATAAAAGCATTTGTAATAACTATTTTACATGTGTGGTGCCTTTAAAACTGGATTTGAAGACTGAATAAGTTATTAATACTAAAAAATAAAAACAAAAAAGCAGTGGTCAAAACAGGCAAGACTGAGAGTGCCTGGTAAAGGTCGTATCATCAGCTATGTCAGTGTTCCTAGGTAGCTCTAATACCTGGTTGTGGATATGAACAACGTGTAGTTTACTTAATCTCTTAGAGACAGGGCAAGAGAAAGACAGGGGCTGGAAGTCAACAGATTCACCATATGAATCAAAATAAAACAACCTGAACACCGCTGGCTCCGCTCCACCACAATGCAGCACTCTCAGGTTCAGATTTAATAGACTCGGGTCTGCTTTCGGCACAGCACACCCCGGCTTCACTGAGTCACTGGCAGAGACGCTGGCCCCTGGGCCGGCTGAGGTGCTGGAGACCCACTGCTGACGGCCTGCGGAGGCACGGCAGCCGGCTCCATCTTGCTGATGTGAGTGATGAACCGAAGACGGAGTTTCAAAGCCGGTTTTAAGTTACAGATAATCTTTTCCACCTAAAACACAAAAGCACAATGAAACATATTTTCACCAGAGAAGCTCAATTTCCCACTTTTAAAGAAGTGATTTACACATTTCCTGAGACAATAAACCAGGGAGGGAACAGGTGGATAAGTCTCTCTCATGTTTTGTCTTTTAACAAAAGCAGGTAAAACTAGTTCTTCCTTAGCTGAAAAAGGCATGTGTGTCCCTCACACACGTATTATATACACGTACATTTGCGTATGTGCATCTATCTATATATGCATACACTTCACAGAAACATACTCGCTGACGGGAACAGCAGTCATCCTCCTGCCAAAAGCTAGTAGAGTTTACACTGGGGGTTCTGCACATCCACCAAGGGACTCATCCTTTTAAAATGCCGTCTTTACACAAAGCAGCATTATATTTCAAAGATCTTTGAATAACAAGTTCAAAACATTTATCTCTACAGTTAAGTTTTTTTGGTTTTGATTTACACCTGGAATTCAAACTAAATCATATTAGACTTACTCTTACTTAAAATGCTTTAAAGAAATAAATACATCAAGCAGTTCCATAGCGTTCTTAGCTTTACTTATATGTTCTTGGACCTTACCAGGAAAGATCAGTCTATTAAAAATTCTTCCTTTCTGTATTCCCTTGTGTCAAAGTCTCTTAGGCTCAAATATAAGGAATACGCTAAAGAAAACATTTCCGTATTGGCTTCCACTCGACAATCCTGTGGAGGTGTAAGGAGTCAACATCCTCCCCACTCCATGTCGCCAGCTTCAAAGAGTGAATCCTGCAGACTAGGATTCCCATGCTTACGTATTTCAATGTATATTCCTTTCCCATTTTGGAGAGAAATGACATCAAAGTGTGGAAAAGGAGATCACTTAACTTCACCTATTTGCCCTCTCTCCACCCTTCTAAAAGAGCAGAGATTCTGGTTCCAACAGACAGGAAACTCAGGATTTAAAGAGGTATTTAAGGAGGTCCTTTGCACGTGGAGACAGCCCTCCCCGGGAGTGGCTCTTTATATGCTGAGTCACAACTTACCTTCACCAGTGTGCATGCCTTTTAAAGTGACACAGAACAGATTTAATACCTATTCCAAATGGCAACCACCCACCCCCAAATAGTTACGATATAATTAATTCCCTAGGACTTTAAAAAATTCAAGTTCAGCACCCTCGGTTTTTAAATACCCTTCATTAGTCACTCTCCTGGCCCTCCTGGTTTTAATCTTGTAGTCACTGCGGTGCCCCCGAATCACTGGGGAAACCAGGCTCCGCTTCACTCGCAACACAAACTCGCTGATGTTTGCAGTAGCCAGGCTGCCCTGTTCCTTCCTGCTGGGT